CCATGTCTTACGGGTCATTTGCGCTGCAGTGGGCTGGTGATGTTATTAAGCACAACCAGGCTCAACTAGTGCTTTTCTTTCTGGTTGGCTGCAAGGTATGCTCGTGAGACCATTATTTTTTTATCCTCCTTATTTTGATGCTCACGAGCCGATTTTGGCAGGCGGACATGTTTCATGCGGTGAAACACGAACAGGGGCTGAAGATGGCACAGGAATTAAACGCAGAATACTTTGAAGTCAGTGCCAAAACAGGTCAGCCCTTCAAACCTGTTTTGCTCCGTGTATAGTCTGCACCAGGTGTAATTACTTTGTTATGTTGCAGGTGACAACGTCCCGTGGCTGTTCAACAGAGTAGCCTATGTTCTATTGCAGTACAAGATCCAAACCTGCATGCAGCCGCCACAGCCCTTCCCATCAGGTACGTTGGCATTGATGGCATTGAGTGCTGATCACCGTGGTCAGCATAGCTGGCACTTATTGCTTTCACCTGGACATTTTCTTGGCAGCTTTCAAGAGCAAGGTTGCTCCTATAGGAGGAGGAAAGGGAATTGGGAGTACTAGTGCTGGTAAGGGAACAGAGAATTGGAAGGAGAAACACAGTGGCAAGGTGCTTTCTCTCAAAGGTGCAGATGCTAACAAAAAGCTTGCAAAAGGTCCCCTATTTAAGTGTTGAGTGTACCACAGTATGCAGTTGCAAGCCTGTTCTTTTAACATCATTTATTCAAACTCATCATGAAAACGGCTTGTCGCGAATCCACTTAGTTGCCACCCACTTGGAACCTTTCACCACTGGACAGCTTCCATGTAATGAAGTCTGCCAACAGTGTTGCAACAGAAACAGGAGTGGTAACAATGTAAAGAGTAATTAGAGAATCTAGATCAGAAAAGACTGCCAAAACTCATAGGGGAAACAAGTTCTTACTGGATCAATGGTGCCATTAGGGTAGATGGACCAAAAAAGTAAAGCATCTCCCATCCGTGGCTTCACTTTAAGGCCAATGCAGTCCTTATAGTTGTAACCAATATTCATGTTGCGTCCACCCTGAAACAAATTGGCACAAACATAAAACTATATCAGAGAGCAGGGTATTACGAGCAGCCACCAAGTGGGCGTCTATGGGAGCTTACATGACACAGCAGAGAAGAGAAAGATACAGATGCTCACACCTCATATGGAAACATGGTTTCACCACCCTCTTCCACGTCCGTAAGGTAAAGTAGAAACGAGGCCATCTGACAGGATGGAACCAGTGGGCAAAATGAACAATGCATTCATAGCCCGTATTAGAGGAGGAAAATAAAAACATCATGAATTACATATGCAGCCCTAGAAGCGAAGGACAATAGGGCTGATACCGTAGAAGAGAGCTGAAGGGCAGATAAGACATTTCCTCCAGACAGCAGGTACTCACCCGGTTGCTGGATTGAGGGCCATACTCCTTGGGATCAAATACATCCATGTGTGAGTCGTAATGCTGGCCCAACTCATACCGCAGAACGTTGAAGGACTGTTGGCCATGCGGGAAGACATCAAAGTGAGTGACATACGGAAATAGAAGCTGCACAAGAGGCCAACTCAGATTTTTTCAGCACTTTACATGCCTGTGACTCCACACAAAACTCACCTCCCCATGGTTTACGGGAAGGCCTGTCACTGCTGCCATCTTGCGCTCCACCCAAGCAAGTGAGCCAGACGGATCCATGTTGGCTGCAAGGAAGGTCCCTGAGCTGAAGGATGATGGTGGCATAAGGAGTCAGTGACGACCAGAGGGCAAGGAAAGTGCGGGCGGACGCCACAGCCACAATGCACCCATGTTGAGCAAGAACATGGTAATTCACACGTGCACAGTGGCCTGTGAGTGTGCACATCAATGGGCATTCACTCAAAGGCAAAAAGAAGAAGAAAGCAAGAACAAAAATAAAAACATACTAACAGCCTCCTTACCTTGTGCGAATATCACGGGTGCCTTCCTCACTCTCGCCTGGCCTGAGAGCTAGCCCGGATGGGGCCATGCGCTTGGAAGCGGCAGCAAGAACGTTCTCACACACGTGGCGTGGGGCGAAGCGGGGAAAGACATACGCACGTGGATGCCACGATATCATCTGAGAATAGTCCGAGGGAGGTAGAGGCGTGTGGCACAGAGAAGGTGGCAGGTTGAGGAAGAGTAAACAGGAAACCACAACACAACTGACCTCCCTCAAATCCTCCCTAAATGCTTAGCATTCAAACTATCTCCCTCCAATCCTGCCTGTATTCTTCCTATGTGCGTCAGCCTTGCCATGCCACCATGCCATCACGTCGCTCCCTCCCGAATCCCCTTTGCCGCCCACTCGAAACCACACCATCTCACCTGGAATGGCACCGTGGAAACGCTACTCTCGCCTGACGTGCCGTGGTCAAACGCCAGCCAGTCATGGCCGCCCTCCCCGTCCCCCACCTCCCCCTCCCCCTTCCCCTTCCCCCCTGCGCCAGCCTCCCCTTCCGCTCCGCTGTCCAGGCTCCCGCGGTGGTCCCCTGCGCGCTCCAGGCGAATTCCGCGGTGAGCAGGGTTGGTGAAGGAAGCGGGGACGGCTCTTGCGGGGGCTCTGAGGTCAGGCACGCGCTGAAGGGAAACGGGGGATTAGGAACGCGTGGTGATGATGTGGAAAAGGAATTTTCGAGGGAGGAAAGAGGAGGAAGGGGAGAGGAGCGATGAGATGGGAGGAGCGGGGAGACAAGACAAGTAAGAAATATAGAGTGAGAACTCTGCCGTCCTTCCGTCAGTGCACCCTCCCAGCCTTCTCGCAAATCCACGCGCGTAGTGCAAAGCATAATACAAATGCGTAGTGCAAACCATAATATAAAGTATCTCCTCGCGTCACCACCGGCCGAGAACACAATTCGATCACTAAGTGTAAGCCATAGTGCAAAGTCTCTCCTCGCGTCGCGTGAAATAAAATAAAAAGGAAAAAAAGGAAAAAAAAAGGGTAACGCGTCGCGCGTAGCCGTCGTACCCCAAAGATGCCGCTGCCATAGAAGCTTCCCATGAAGAACGCGGCGACGCACATGAGCGCGACGATCCCCACCGGGCACCGCACCACGCCGGGCCGCCGTATCTTGGATCCCATCAGCTTCGATCCTCCCACCATCCAATCCTCGATGCGCGCGACTGGAGTATTTGTAAGTGATTGATTGGGCGTGGCGGAGAGGAAAGAATAACTGCTTCTCCTGCTGCTACGGTTACTTCTGGTGCTACAGCCACTCTGCTGCTCGGCCTTGAGAGTCCAAGCAGCCGTACGGGACGCGAAGGATACGATACGATAACGTCACTTGTCACAGGGACAAGCAGGAAGAACAGATATTTCTAGGCTAATCTCCCAGGGCTACGTTAGACTGGTCAGTGAATTTTAGAGGCTGGTCGGGTTACTCTTTATAAGCGACGATGGAGGATGAAATTCGCAACGGTCGTCGAACCGCAGACTGACGTCGCCTGTGAAGTCTGGCGACAGCCGTCTCCAGTCTCTTGCTGATTTCGGCTGAGAGGCATACGACGAATGTCGCAGATCTGACGAGGATGGGAGCGAGTTTCGAAGCCATGTCATGCCAATTGAAGTAACATTGGTCAGATGTCATGTAATTATAATTGCAATACAAAACGATACCTTCTACACATAAACCAAGGCAAAACAAAGCACAAATACCAACAGCACCAGCAAATAGAACTATTCAGCAATTGCTAACAACAGATCCCTCCCTCACCGCCTCCACGTATTGCTAAGAGTCCAACCACTTCAAACGAGCTGAAACAAAGCTATCGAAGGCACGGCTCCAGTGAATGCAGCCACATACTAGCACCAATGGCACCCAGCCAATCAGATAACAAATCTCCATCAGAGGTGGTGCCCATGCTGAGGCTGGAAACCAGCCACAATTCCGGCGGCCGAGGTAGCACTACTGAGAGACCCATGCTGACAAAGCCGCATAGATGATAACCTGTCCAAGACCGCTGGCATATAACCGCCTGAACCAGCGTCCCGTTGCTCAAATACCTCTCAATGCCTCCACCGTTGCAAATACTTCATCTCCATCCTCCTCACTCCACCTGGCACCCCCACAGGAACCATGCCTCACGTCAACCCCGCCCAGTCCCTCCTCACTGCACTGCACTCCCCCAGACCTGCTATCACCGCACACCAGAAACCACCAGGCGTTTGGCCAACCCACCACACAGCGACTTGCAAGCCACAAAACAGCAAGCCCCTTCGTTCTCAGCAAGCCACAGCCACATCAACACACAATAATGAACCAACAAACGGCGCAGAGCAGGTGCAAGCCTGCACCTCCACATGCGCACACAATGAGCAGGGTTATGGGGAAACACTTTCAAACACTCACGAAAGCTCAACTGCACATACACTTTCTTGCACTGACTGATGCACAGGTAACACACACCACTCTGACAACCCAAAAAAAACATAAAAAAAACCAACCTTACTGAACCAACCAGACACATGCCCTCTCCCCTCCCCCCCTCCCCCCCTTCTCCCCCCTCTTCTAATCCCCACCTCCTTCTTGCCTTGGCCATCCCATTCGTCCACCACCTCATACACAAACCCTCATAGCAACCAACCTCTCCCTACCTTTCCACTTGAATCCAAACGCCTTACCAACGAGCAGATTGCACTGTGCCCCCAGCAAACCTTGCTCGTAACGGCCAACTACCCCACTTCCTCAATCCAACTGCCCAGTTGACAACAGGTGCGCTAGAAGTGACAGCTCAACCCAACCACCCACAGCTGCCACCTGCTGCCACTCTCTACCACTACACGGCTTGTGTCTGCATTTTTCTCCCTCTAGCATCACCCAGGACGAGAGAAGGCAGCAGCACCTGATTCACATCTACTGAAGCATCATATCCTGCTCCTGTTCCAGCTGCTCCTGCTGCTCTTGCTGCTCCCGCTCCTGTTGCTCCGGCTGCTGTTGCTGCAAGGCATGAGCTGCTGACGCCTGGTCATGGCAGTCAGTGCGCCTCTCCCCGGCCTCCTCCCCCCATGTGCTGCCAGCTACCACTCGTCCATGCACCATGCACACCTGCTGCTGCAGCAGATGCAGCACTAGAGGCAGCACCAGGAGGCATGGCAGCAGACACAGTGGGCCCAGCAGCAGCAGCAGCAGCAGCAGCAGCAGCAAGTTCTGCTGTTGCAAATGCGGAGCCAGAGTGAGCCGCCATGGATCCGGGCGCATGAAACCCACTCCCCATACCATCAGACGCAGATCTCATGCTGCCTTCCCCTGCTCCACGCCCCCCTGGTCCGCTTCCTCCTCCTCCTCCGCCTCCCCCTCCGCCTCCTCTCCCCCCTCCGCCTCCGCCTCCCCCTACCCCCGCTGGAAAAGCAGCCCCATGCATCATGAGTGAGTGTGGATGTGAGTGTGGATGGGGGGCGGCGAGGGACAACGGGGCCGACGAGTTGGGAGGGCCAGTGGCGAATGCAAAGCGAGAGTGGGGAGGTTCTGAAGGCGCGTCGTATATGGACACAGTGCGCTGAGGAGGCACACCACAGACTGGACACGTGGCAACGAAATTGGTGCACACCTGGCACAGCACGGCATGGTGGCAGGGCTGCACACAGAAAATAAAAAAGGAAACGGGTAAAAATGGGGCAAGGGACGATCAGAGCACATAAATGGGCTTGCTTATGTGGACAATCGAGGCAATCTTAAACAAGCAGGCTGAAAACAAGCAGATTGGTTGAGCGAATGCAAGGAACAAAAAATGCATCAGAAACAGAAGGGTCACTCTGGACATACCAGAAGCTTGTAAGCAACAGGGAGCTCATGACACACCACACAGCAAAGCCCCCCACTCAGTGCCCCTGCCGCTGCAGCACCAGCCACACCAGCAGTGCCAGCAGCACCAACAGCAGTACTAGCAGTGTTGCTGCTGCTGCCCAGCCCACTGCTTCCAGTCGTGCTGGGACTGTTATTCTTGCTGCTGCTGCCACTGCCACCAGATCCCACACTACTGCCCGCACTCCCACTCCCAATTCCGCTGCTGCTGCTACTACCGCCAATACCGCCACCACCACCCACGCCACTGCTGCTGCTACCGCTGCTGCTGCTACCAGGCAGCCCTGCAAACGGCCTGGGACCTCCGGAAGCAGGCATTCCTGCAGCAGCAGCAGCAGCTGCAGCCGCCACCGCCGCCGCTGCTGCCGCGGCTGCTGCCCCTCCGGGTGCTGCTGCTGCTGCTCGAGGGCAATTAGGAGCATGGGCGACGGATTGACCTGCCTGTGCTGCTCCAGACCACACAGAGGAGGGGCGGCAGGGGCAGCTTAGCTGTGCTGCTGACCCGTCAAGAAAGGACGGGTTGACTGGGAGGGAAAGAGGCGGGGCAGAAGACGTGGCGGGCGTTGCTGCTGCGAGAAAGAATAAACGAGAGGGAGAGCGGAAGAGTGGGAGAGTGGTTGGAGTGGGAAAGCGGGAGGGGAAGGCAGGGGGAACGGAACGGGTAAAAACACTTGAGGGGGGAAAGAGACGAAGTAAGCGACTCGTGCAATCCCCAAACGGAGCGAACAGAACCAGAAAGAAGCTGTGATCTTCGTGCACTTGAGACATAGCCACAAGTGCTTACCAGACATGATGCTTTCAAGGGACAGGTGCCTGTTTTGGAACGGAGCAGCACTATGAAGCGCCCTGCCAGAAGCATTGCCAGCAGCCATGCTTGGCACAGGTGGCGGCATGGACAGGCCCAAAGGAGGGTGGGCGGAGGGATGGGAGGGGTGGGACGGAGGCATAGGGAACTGGTGCAGGTGATGGTGGTGGGGGCTGTCGTTCCTCCCACCGGCGTGGTTAGGAAGAGGTGAGACGCGCTGCTGCTGGTGTTGATGCTGTTGGTGCTGTAGCTGCTGCAATTGCTGTTGCTGCTGGTGCTGGTGCTGATGCTGTTGCTGCTGTTGCTGCTGCTGCTGCTCCAGCCAATTCTCCAACAGTTCCTGCTCAAGCATGCTGCGTGCCCACTGCCCCATTTGCCCACCGCCCCCACCACCACTGCCAGCCGATGCAGCAGCAGCAGCAGCGCTTGAATCCCCTCCTCCCATCCGCTGCTCAATAGCCTTCCTTACTTTCTCCCTCATAGCCTCCCTCACAGCAACCGCCTGTAAGTCCTCCTCTCCCTGACCCCTCCCTCCTTCCCTAAACCCCCTCGCCTCCTCTTCACCCCCCAACCGGCCCAGGTCATCCCACCTCCCTCTCCCTCCGCCTGGAATACCGAATCCCACTCCCCCCCCAATGCCCTGTTCCATGCTATTCCCCGCCCCCATACCAGACCCCACCATTCCCCCTGCCACCGGTCCCATGGTCCCCCCACCTACCGGCCCCATCCCTCCCCCACTCCCCATGCCCACACCCGTGCCCATGCCAAAGCTGTTGCTCACTGAACCTTCCCTAAACGCCTCCGCCTCTCCTCTCAACCTCAGGCTCTGCCAGATCTGTTGCTGCTGAATCAACTGCTGTTGCTGCTGCTGCTGCTGCTGCTGGTGATGCAGCTGCTCCTGCTGCTGCCGCTCTGCCTGCAGCTTCTGCTGCTGCAGCTGCCACAGAAGGAACAGCGTCCTCTCCTCCAACCGCTCGTAGTACATCTGCTGCTTCAGCTCCATCAGAGCCGCCTCCTCCACTCCCATCCCTCCCCCTCCCATCGGCCCACGTCGGCCCATCATACGCCCTTCCACCACACTCGCCAGCAGCTGCGCCCGCATGTCAGCACCCTCAATTCCTCTCCCGCCTCCCCCCCCTCTGCCCATGCCCATCCCCATCCCGCCTCCGCCACCACCACCATCTGGGGGACTCCGGGAAGCCCCACCTCCGCCTCCCCCGCCCCCGCCGCCCCCAGGCATGCCCCTATTCTGCAGCGCCTTTCTCGGCGGCGGCTGGTATTGGAAATCCACCCCATCTATCCTATGCTCCCTTAGAACAAATTGCCCCTCCCTCTTCCGTTCACACAGCTCTTTATACTTATCAACCGCGTCATGGATCAGATTAATAACCCTTTCAACCTTTTCCTTCTTCCCTTGAATCCTGAACCGTCGGATCTCCTCTCCCTCCATCCCGTCGATTCCACTCGCGCCCTCAGTCCACGACTGCACAATCGCGCCTGTCACGTGCCCGATCTGCCGCGCAGCAGCCCCAGACGATCCGATCACGAACCCCGCAGCCAGCAGCGTCACCCATACGTACGCCTCTCGCCCTTCCTCGGACCGTTCCACCTTGAGCACGCGGTGATCCTCCGTGTACATAGGCTCCAAATCCACTGACCCATCGCTCCGTGGACCGCGCGCCATGCGCCTCCGGTTCTCTGGCTGCCCCGGCGCTGCTGCTGCTGCTCTGCCCCCAGGACCCTGCGCCTGTGCCGCCTCCTGCTGCGGCTGGTCCTGCAGGGACTGGGATCCTGCTTCCTGTGCCGGCTGCCACTGATTCTGCAACGGCAACGGAAGCTGCTGCTGCTGCTGCTGCAGCTGCTGCTGCTGCTGCTGCTGCTGCTGCTGCTGCTGCTGCTGCTGCTGCTGCTGCTGCTGCTGCTGCTGCTGCTGCTGCTGCTGCTGCTGCTGCTGCTGCTGCTGTCGCTGCAGCTGGTGCTCCGTCGCCTGCTGCCGCAGAAAGCCTGCGGCTGGTGAGCTCACGTCAGATCCAATCAAGGAAGAGAGCCGCGAACCTGACCGCTCTGCAGCAGCCGCAGCAGCAGCCGCAGCCGCGGCAGCAGACGTGGAAACAGTGGAAGGAAACGAGGAGGAAGATGCGAAAGCGGAGTCTGATGTTCTGCCACCATACGCACTAGGCTTGTCCAGCCTGCCAGGCCAGCCAAACACGTCAGCTCCTGTAGAAAACCCACGTGTCAAGCCTCCCGCACCTCCGCCAGCACCATCCATGGTGCTACCACCTGCTCTAGAGCCACCAAAACCTGCATCTCCTTCCAAGAATCGCCGCCCACCCTCCATCCTCCCACCTTCCAACCGCCCACCTTCAAACCGGCCGTCGCCAGTGCCGACTGTCTCAGCATGAAGACCGCTAAGCCATGGCTCCCCGTACTCCCCCCTGCTTCCGCCATGGCTTCCGCGCACATCCTTTCCCCCTAGCTCCAATCCGCTTCCAAATCCCCCCAGATTGCCCGCAAAAGCAGCCCCGAACCCGGCGCTCTCGGTAACAGCATGCGGCACGGCATATGCAGGTCCCTCAGGCATAGGCGGAGAGCGGGTTTGAAAGTGGGCGAGGGAAGAAGCGTGGGAGGACGAGGAAGACGCGGCGACGCGTTGGGCGAAACGAGATCTGAGATCCGATCCCAGATCTAGTTGCTCCAGCTGCCACGTCACCGCTTGCTCCACGTCCTGTGCGCTAGCTGCCTGTGCTTGACACGCATGGGACAAGAACGGACAAACACCGACACGGAGAGAGACAAGAACCAGGTTATAGACCAAAAGATCACCATAACAGCATTAAGGAGACACGAACGCGGATCTGAAAACAGCATGTCGCTGACCCACGAACGGGAAGAAAGAAAGGAGTACGACAGCCGGGGAGACATGATCAGCAGCAACAGCCTTAACAAGGACGAAACATATCCACCACGAACGATCACCACCGTACCTGCGCGTGCGCCTGAGCGGTCATGGCGTAACCAGGATGCGTGGACGCACCGCCTCGTCCTCGTAGCAGCTCCAACTCTCTATCACGCGACCCTTCCACTCCTGTCTCACCACCACCCAACCCATAACTGGCGCCTGCTGGAAATCGCCCCACGCCGCCACCACCGCTGTTCAACGGCGCGGTCTTACCAACTAGTACCGATCCGTCTCTCGCCTCATCCGATAGTATCGTCAAACTAGAGTTAAAGTCTCGTACCATCTGCCACTGTCGGTCACTGTCACGCTCCTCCGAGCCTTGCATCCGCGCTGCTGCTGCGCCTGCTGCTGCTGCGGCGGTGGCGACAGAAGCCGTCGTAGTACGGTCAGATCCGGTTTCCGCCGGCGACGACACCGGCGACGCGGACGACGTAGACGCCAGGCTGGACGATTGAGCTACTTTCGCAGGTTCCGGCTTGGCGACGTCGCAATTGCTGGGCGCACTCACCTGCGTCTGCCCTTGGTTACTGCTGCCGCCGCCACAAGGAGAGCCACCTCCACCCTGCATGAATACGGTGCGAAAATCTGCCGATTCCGGCGCCACGGTGCTGCTTTTCACCTGGATCCGCTTCGCTGTGTCGTCCAAAGAACGTAGTTCTTGCTGCTGCTGGTGCCTCGACGTCAAGGTCACGGTGGCTGGAGAACGCAAGTCCAATTCGCCACAAGCAGCGCTCGACGCATCGACCCCACCGTTCCCAGCGGCTGACGAGCTGCTGCTGTTGTTGCTGCTGCTGCTGCTGCGAACGCTTCCGGCGCTATTACGTATGGCGCTTGTGCTGCCGCCGGCAATACTGCTACCACTGGCGTAACTATCAATTTGACTACTATTTCCTGAGCAAACTCGACCTCCACTCAGCCCAGGAGAAGTTGCAATCGCTGCGACCGCTGCGACTGCTGCTCCCACCGGTGCGTTTGCTGCTCCAGCAGCCACGACGGTTCCCAACAAAGCGGCGCTCTTGGCGCGTGAGGAGAATTGATCCGCGGCGCGCGACGGGCCCGCCGTCGATCCAGAGGCGGCGGCAGCGGCAGCGGAGCAGGCTACTATCCTGGCGGTGGCGCCGGCGGCTTCACGCGGAGCTACGTGGAGCAGCGAGCTTGCCATGCCTCAGCAGAACGCTGCGAGGTAACATCGTCCGCGCTGATTACTCTACAAGTAGTGGAAAGAGCGGGGACACGGCGCGGGGCAGACACGACCCTTGGATAAAAGTTCCTGCGACTTTTAATTTCTCTAGTGGATCAAGAGCAAGGAAACCGCGTAGTGTACGGCCGAAGGAGAAGCGACGCGAGGAGAATAAGGAGGGTGAAGAACGGGTAAGCGGCAAGGTGCTGTAAAGGTTCAGATCAGGAAAGATAGAGGTGGTGCGAGGGAAAGAACCTCTTTTCCTGAGAGTCGATGGTTGGACAGAAGCGAGAGAATTGCGGATCTTGGACCTAGACGCACGACGAGATGCGAGGTGCATCCATCAGGCGACGGAGTCCGACGGCGACGGGGCTACGATCGGAATTTGAGCGAGATTGGTCGACGACGTGTCGGTCGCAGTTGATTCGTGAACAATTCTGACAGCAGCTTCTCCGTCGCGTGTTGGCAATCAGTTAAGGAGGGTCGTGATGGATGGGACGTCAGCCGTGCAGGTTCTATGAGTAAGATGTTAGAATCGTGGACCCGATTACTAAGCGGAGTGAGTCTACTGGAGTCTGATGGGACGCTAATTCAGGGTCGCGCATACAGCGGAACAGTCGGGTCGATGGACAGTCGCAGGCCGAGCGAAGAGATCGGAGCTAAGCTTGATGGGAATTTTGGGCGCGGGAGGGACGACAAGTACCAGAAAGAAAAGTAATTCGAGTCGATGGGGGAGGAAGCACGTTTTGACGGTGCCTGGGGTTCAATGAACCAAACGTTCTGACTGCTAGCAGAGGAGATGCAGGGGGGGTGTAGAGTACGAGCCTTGGGATGGGCGGAGGGATGTATGACAGCAGAGTGGCGAGGCGAGGTGGCGAAAGTTGAGAGGCCCTTGAAATCTAACAGGGAACATTGCGCCAACACCACCCAACCGAAGCAACCTCGACGCTTTTTGCTCATCATCACATGCGCACCAATGATCATGTCCTGAACTGCTAGTGGAGCAGAGGGAAGCCTGAGCTGGGCTCTTGCCTGCTTGCCCATGCTGTGCCATGGTGCCATCCAAGCCATGTCATGATGTCATGCCATGCCAGCAGCAGCTCCACCCCAACTTCCGCCCTCCCTCGTTGCGATGGGCCCAGAGCCAAGCCAAAGCAACCAATTCGTCGCGTCTCATCTCATACACTCCCGCTTCCGTCGGATCAGAGGGATGATGATGAACTCGAGGGGATGAATCACCGCTGTCGTGCAGCACAAGGCTCCTGTGGGTCGTGTCTCGCTCGGTCGCTCGCCCCCTCCTCCCGCCCCGTCACCTGTCTACACCTCAACCCCGCCTCCTCCCAACCAGAGCCTCAGATTTTGCCTTGAAGCCGCTAACCGCCCCCTACAGAAAGTTGCCGCGACTCGTCATCGTAAAACTGGCGCGAAAACAGAGCGACCTGAGCAAACGACGTGGGAGAATCTTCACCGTCCAATTACCAGGTTCGAGGTTCGACGGCACTCCCCTGGCCTGTCTAAACAACAGTGCAAGGGGGATCTTTTCGCTTTCGCACTTCATCAGCCAGGGGTGTACAGTACCCGCTTCTCATGAAGCTTCCACCTCACGTCTTGTGAAAAGGGTTTCGAAGCATCGAGCCCGCCGCCGCACGGCACTGCACAAGCTTGGGAGGGGTATCAATCAACCCTGAAGTGAACGGCTCATACAGTACACCAGCATTTTCACACCAACCCCCTACAGCCAGCAGTGTGCTGATTCCCACCAGCGATGAGCCAACACGGATTTTAGTGGTGTGGTCCCACGCACAAAGTGGAAGTTGAACGTCTTGTATTTTCGCGACTCTACACGTGTATTGTCAACGCATCTCTGGTACGGTACAGTATTTTGAAAGCGTTTCGAGTCCGAACCGTGACACACTCCAAACCAAAACCTCAAGAACTAGCGTGCCAGAGTGGCAGACAGGAAGCCCACGGAGGCGAAAACTTGTCTGATGCGGAAACGGCCACCAAGGCGCAGAGCCAACAAACCTTCGTGTCGGCGCCTCGATTAAAGAACCTTTCTGACTGGAACATTTGGCGGAACAATGGACTGGCTGTATCCATTCTTCTTCAGAAACGCACTTGTAGGCTTTGTTAGTGGTGATAACATAGGGAAAGAAAGCCCTTAGGATCTTTGCAGGGGTGAACTCTGGGTAGGACTAATGTAATAGCGGAAGCGTTTAATGAAGAGTTGTGAACCACCTTGCGCTAGTATGTGAGGGCAAAGTAAGTTGATTAAGGCAAAGAGATACGGGATGATATAAGAGTACAAGGAATATGAAGAGATACAGCTGTAACTATTTTACTGTTGCTGTTGCGGTTCGATACAGTGACGACTCGGTCAACTGCTCCGTAGCGAGTCAGTTGTGTGTCCTTGCTGTCGCCCTGTACTTGTCAGGTCAAAGGTCGCTGACCTTTGACTTTCGCGTAACCTCCAACAGTTACTTCAACCTCCGAGGGTTGACTCGCTGGTGCCTCGATATGCTTCGCTTCGCTTGTGCCTTGGTGTTTCGGCACGACAGAGGCGCTTAAGCTTGATTGTTTCCAACACTCCCCTTCGCTTCAGGAGTGTCGATGTTGGTGACGTGGCTCTGTCCAGTCAGCAGCATGCAGTACTCGAACTTCTGTTTTCCGAGCTTCTTGGTCAAGTAGTCAGCTGCCATCTCAGACGTGGGGCAAGATGACAGCTCGAGCCTCCCTTTCTCGATCTCGTCCTTCACGAAGAAATATCGCAGGGTGATGTGTTTCGTCCTGTTCGCGAAGCCGTTCTTGTTGGCGATGCGAATTGCCGACTGGTTGTCGCAGAACAGGGTGAAGCTGGGTAACTGAGCTAGCTTTGCTTCTTCCAGTAGTTCGCGAAGGTAGAGTCGTTCATTGGTGGCTGAGCAGAGTGCTATATATTATGCTTCAGCTGAGGAGAGCGCGATTAACTCGTGTTTGCTCGACTGCCAGGAGATAGGTCCGATGGGTTCGAACCGATGGATGTAGCTGGTGCGCGAGCGTCTGTTGTCAGAGTCGCCTGCGTGATCGGCGTCGACGTAGCCGATTAGCTTAGGTGTTGTAGTTGCGTTCTTGTGGTAAGTCAGACCGATCGTCGGGGTGCTGATGAGGTAGTGAAGAGCGCGGTCGAGCTCCGCCAGGTGTTCCGTTTCAGGCTTCTTGAGATAAGTGGCGAGCTGGCTTGTGGAGTATGATAGGTCCGGGCGGCAGGTGACAGCTGCGAAAAGGAGGCATCCCAGTTTCCTCTGGTAGTCGCGTATGCCGACGGGCTTGAGTAGAGTAGATCCTCCTTTGATGTTTCCTGTCGTGTAGCAGTACGGCGTGGAGATGGCGGTCGGTGTGAGTGCGAAGCGCTTGGCGATGGTATCGGCGTATTTCGCGGCGCTGAGATAGATTGCGTCTTCTTCTTCTCGGATGTTGAGACCGAGATACTGTGTGACGGTAGATGAGACCGTGAGCGTGAGGTCCTTCTCCAGCTCCCCTTCGAACCAGGTTGTGATGCCGTCGGTCGAGCCGATGTAGAGTAGGTCGTCTACATAGACGATTAATAGGATGTAGTCGGTGCCCTTCATGAGCCGGTACATGCCCTGATCGTGCGGTAGTTGTTTGAAGCCGATGCGAATGAGGCGAGCGTGCAGGTACTGTTGCCATAGTCGCAGAGCTTGCTTGATGCCGTAGAGCAATTTCAGCAGCTGACAGACTTGATTGGGCTCATCGTTTGAGCCGTGCGGTAATTCGACGAAGATTTCTGCGTCAACAGGTGCGTAGAGGAATGCGTTCGCAACGTCGATTTGCCGCAGCTTCGTCTTCTTCGTGGCGGCGATCGCGAGGAGGATTCGAAGTGAAGTGTGTCGACTGACCGGAGGAATGCGTTCGCAACGTCGACTGTCCGTGTTCTTGGTCGAAGCCGCGTACCACCCAGCGAGCTTTAAACTTGTCGATGGTGCCGTCAGCCTTTGTCTTCACACGGAAGACCCACTTCCCGGTGAGTACTGTTTTGTTCCGTGCTATGCTGATACGGACGATCTTCCAGGTGTTGCGTTCCTCCAGTGCCTTTAGTTCCCTATCCATGGCTTTGCGCCATTTTTCCTTATGTCCCCCCCAAGAGCCTGTTGAACTGTCGCAGGCTCTTTAGGAATGGCTGCGTCGTGAACTGCGGTGACAAGGCCAAGGATTTGGAGTCCACTCTGTGTGTAGCGGGGTAGTGAAGTGTCCGCGGGATAAACAGCTTCGTCTCCCGCTTCTGGATCAGGTGCGAAATTGGGTCCTACGCGTTCTGCTTCGTCGGTGTTGACTTGTGCAGGTGTAACGTAACCGTTGTCAGCGAAGTGATAATAGGTTTCGGCGTTGAT